TGACCAGATAATTGCTAAGGAACCTGAAAATTTTAAAACAGCGTATGAAATTGCTCAACGTTTGGACGTGTCACATATGACCGCACTGGAAATGAAAAGCATAGCGCACTGGAAATGAAAAGCATAGCGAGTGGTGCAGTGGATCCTCCTGTATTGAAGGTACAGTATAAAACGACGAATACCAAGGACACTTCGAAATTGAACACGTCGAAGACAAATAATGCAGTACGGGCCAAGTGTTACGGGTGTGGGGGACAGCATTCCAGGGACCAGTGCAAATTTCGTAATGTCAAGTGCTACAGATGTGACAAAACCGGTCACATCGCTAAGGTATGCAAATCAAGGACCGCACAATGTGGTGGATGATGAGCACATGGTGGATGATGACGACTGCGATGTTGTTCAACGTGTAAACCAAGTTGGGGCTGTGAAGGCAGGCAAATAATCGGCGTAGAAATTAATGGTGGTAAGGTTAACATGGAATTGGACACGGGTGCTCCTTGCGGTATAATGAGTTTGACGAATCTGAACTGCTGCACTAAAAAGTTTAAATTGCTACCAACGTGCAGAAGGTTCACCAGCTATACAGGCCATAGAATCAATTGCATAGGGCGAGTGGTAGTGGATGTAAAAGTGGGCACCACTACACGCAAACTAAATTTATACATAGTGGAAGGCAATTTCGACTCATTATTTGGCAGAGAATGGATTGAACAATTCGTTAGAGAAATTGATTTTGTAAAATTATTTTCGACATCAGAGGCGGTGGGTGCAATCAAGATGGATTTTCCTCGGTTAATGCCTAGTGAAGCGGAGCAACTACAAAAACTATTAGAAGAATTTGAAAACATTTTTAGTGATACAGCTGGTAAGTTGGATTTTCCACCAATAAAACTACACTTGAAGGATGATGCAAAACCGGTATTTGCCAAGGCAAGAGAAATACCCTTTGCTCTAAGAGATGCGTATGTGGCCGAAATTGATCGTAAACTTAAAGCAGGGTTTTATGAGAGGGTCGAATTCTCAGAGTGGGCTTCAACCACACACGTCGTTGCTAAGAATGATGGCAAAATTCGAATAACTGGCAATTACAAACCGACTGTCAACCCTCGGATCATTGTGGATGAACATCCGATTCCAAAAGCGGAACATATTTTTATTAAAATGAGTGGAGCAAAATACTTTTGTCATCTTGATATAACCGACGCATATTCGCACCTGCAGATCGATGAGGATCTAGCACATACACTTACATTAAACACGCCCACCCATGGTTTAATACGTCTCACACGTGCAGTTTACGGCGCCGCAAACACTCCGGCTATATGGCAGCGGACTATGGAGTCTCTTTTGCAAGACATTCCGAACGTTTGCAATTTTTTTGATATTTTAATTTTCGCGGAGAGTTTCGAAAAATTACATACAGTATTGAAGACGACATTGGTACGGCTAAAGGAAAAAGGATTGAAGTTAAAACGATCGAAATGTGTGTTTGGTGCAAGAACAATTGAATTTCTTGGTCACAAGATTGATGGTAGTCGAATACATAAATCCGATAAACATGTGGAAGCAATAAGAGATGCACCAAAACCTTCGAGTCAAGAGGAATTACAACTTTTTCTCGGGAAAGCCACATATTATGGCTCATTTATACCAGACCTTTCTACACGTAGCAGACCACTTCACAACATGCTGAAGGAAAATCCGTTTCAGTGGACAAAAGAGGGCGACGTAGAGTATAATGACATCAAAAATGCATTGATTTCACCGAAAGTGTTGATACCATATAATCCAGCATTACCACTATTATTGGCTACGGATGCAAGCAGTACAGGATTGGGGGCAGTGTTGTCGCTTATGCTAGTCGCACTTTAACGGGAACTGAACGCAAATACCCACAAATGGATAAGGAAGCCCTTTCTATTGTATGGGCTGTTCAGAAAATTTTCCTCTACCTATATGCTCGCCATTTCACACTAATTACAAACCACTAGCGCAAATTCTTGATCCAAATAAGTCTCTACCCGTTTTATGTATCAGCCGTATGGCCAACTATGCGGATTTCCTGGGAAATTTTAATTTCAGTGTAATGTTCAAGTCGACAAAAGCCAATGCTAACGCGGATTATTGCTCGAGAGCTATTAAAGATAGTGCAGTGAACAGGGTAATTTTGATTTTGACTCATTTTTAATTCACCAGATTGATGTACTTCCAACGAATGCAGATAAAGTGGCTTCGGAAACACGTAAAGATGAGAAGATCATAAGATTATTGGAGACCGGAAAATCCCTCCAAGCATACGGTTATAAGTCCCCAGAAGTTAATTATAATATAGCGGGCAATTGTCTGACTTTCGAACATAGAATGGTGATACCTCAAAAACTTCGTTCAAAGATTCTTAAGGACTTACATTTAGGCCATTTGGGTATCGTCAAAATGAAAGGCCTCGCAAGATCATTCGTGTATTGGCCAGGAATTGATAAGGATATTGAAGGTGAAGCTAAAAGTTGTCATGACTGCGCTATGTTTGGAAACGAACCACCAAAATTCAGGAAACACCACTGGCAATACCCCAAAGGGCCATGGGATCGCATTCATGTGGACTACGCGGGTCCATTTCTCGGAACGATTCTTCTTATTGTCACCGATGCGTACAGTAAATGGATCGAGGTAAAAGTAACGCATACCAGTACTTCAGCTGCAACAATCGCAATTCTTGATGAATTATTTGCTACCTATGGGGTGCCAAACACATTGGTTTCAGACAATGGCACTTGTTTTGTTTCAGCAGAGTTTAAAGAATTTATTACCAACGTAGGTGTCAAATACCATAAACTCACAGCACCATATCTTTTTTTTAGTCTTAAGTCTTTTCTTGTACAATCAAGTTCATTCCAGTAAACATTCTAGTTATAATATTAACACATTGCTGTTTAAATACATAAAAATGGGCTACCTTCAAAAACGACATGAACGCATTAAAAAGCCTTCGGGTACATCGACACATTAGCAAAGGAAAGGTGCCGCAGTCAATTCATATCTTCACAGACGCATCAGAAAAGGCAAACGGTGCAGTGGCATACATCCAATCCAAATTCAAGGATGGGATTACCATGACTCGAATTTTTTGCCCAAAATCTCGGGTCCCCCCTTTAAGCGACAAACCATACCAAGTACTCTGCGCTGCAGTACTTGGAGTTCAGCTTGCATCTGGACCGACTCAGAGATCGTTCTGGCTTGGATAAACTCATCGTGTACCGCCTTTCACACATTTTTGGCAAACAGACTTGCAACCATTCAAGAATTAACCCAAGCAGATCAATGGCGCCATAATCCAGCCAGTGTTTCATCTCGCGGATATCAACAGCCGCTCTTAAATTTGACTTTGTGGACTTTGGTTCTGTGGCCCTCTGTTTTTTCGTGAAAACGAGTCGTTGTGGCCACCAATATACAGAGACTCTTGTCACTTCAGTAGCTTCATCTGACTTTATGGATTTAATAAGACACATCAACACATTTGCCCGTCTACAACGCATTATAGCTAACACCCTGCGTTTCAGTAATCGAAGCAAGTGCAATATCATTAATCAAAGGCTCAGTGAACACTTACAACAATCGAACTATACAAGAGTCGAATTTTAGGGAAGATACTGAAAAGCTGAATACACATAAATATTGCGCTGAACAAGTAATTTACGCAAATTTTCACCATTCCTGGACAATTTCGGCTTACTACCCCTTGAAGGTCTTCCTGAAGTATCATTATTGCCATTCGAATCAGCATGACCATTCATTAACAACAGGGTTGACACTGTGGCCCTCTAACAGTTCACAAGCTGCAAGTAAAAAGGCCACATAAGACCTACATTGGAGTCTTTTTCTGTTTCACTACAAAGGCTAGACACCTAGAATTAGTGAACGACCTCACAACTGAGGCCTTCATGGGTGCCCTCAAAAGATTCGATGCAGAACGCGGCTCTGCCAAAGTTTATATTCTGATAACGCAACAAATTTTGTTGGAGCCAAAATAGGCTACCAGATGTCATACCCACCCCTGCTGCGCAAAAAGCCAAATCCCCATACTTTGCTGGCATCTGGGAAGCGGCTGTCAAGTCAATCAAACATCTTCTGGTAAGAAGCGCAGCAAATGCTTCCCTAACCTACGAAACATTAGTCACATAAATCGAGGCAATACTGAATTCATGTCCCATTTCTCCAATGTTAAACGATCCAAATGACAAAGGCGTGCTGACCCGGGACATGTTCTGATCGGTGAACCACTTACGGCCGAAGTTGACGCAAAGCAAAGCCAGGCGGCAACAAATAGTCTGAGGAACCTGGCTGCAGAATTACAGAATTACAATGGATATCGAACTCACTACAAGATTATAAAAGGTCAGTGCAGGATTAAATCACTTACATCCAAATGGGACATCAATGGCATGGATTATGGTGAGGATGAGAAAGAGGTTCAACCAATGAAGCATAACCACTTTAGATATATACCGCTAAGTAGCAGAAGGTATCGGCTGTTTGGTAGATATGAACTTAATAATCTAACATTCTTCTCTGGAAAAGAGTCACATAAAAATGTTAAGCAAAATCTGTTTCCATCTCCTTCTACTATCCAGTGTATAAAAGAGTAACATTTGGAACGTGGAAAAATAAAAAAAAAATAAATAAAATTGGAAAAATTTAAATTTCGCGATAAATTCAACAGTTAAATAGCAGTTCTTTCGACAATAGATTTAAAATTTTTCCGGTAAATAATAAATAAAAGTATGATATTTTATATACATATAGTCATGCGAAAGTCATATAAGTTATTTGCATTTAGCAATTTGCATTTGGTGTTATTGCAATATTACTAAGTACAATATTGTGTATTCATTATGTAAAACGTTGTTTATTCAATTCGCCTTTTATTAAAATTTCTAAATAGGCAATAAATGATATAAATGAGTAGAGCACTTACATTTGGTTGTTGTTCATCATTGTACTGAGGATTTCTTTGATGGTCGGATTCCCAAGGTACATAACGATTGTTATAAGCCATGGGACCGTGCCATTGATTCAGAACCATAGAATTACGACTATCGTCATTTAAATTCATACTGCTAAAATTACTTTGATTGGACGCTCTTGCCATTTCTTCTTTCGATTTGGAATTTAAATTTTTACCAAAAGAGCATAGACGTCTTCGATACACTATGCTAATTGCTACGACACTGATCAGGAAAATGCTACAAATTGTCACCGTAATTAGATATATCTGTGCGCTATATTGATATACATTTTTGTCGTTTTCACTATACGGCGATTCTGATGAAAAGTTATCAGGTTTCTTTCCCGGTGTATCGTTTAAACCCCAATTTTGAGTTGTTGTTTGACGAGTCTGATTATTATCCATACTCTTCAACTCATTCGTATTTCTGGTATCGTTACCGTTATTTTGCTTAGAGATATGGGTATCGACATTTGATGTATATACTGGCTGAATATTGCTGTCATTTGCGGGTGACATGTTCGAGAATTTGAAATTTGGTGCTTGATTTCGAATAGACTGCACTCCTGGTAGACGATCAAAAGATGGCAACAATAATGTTACATTATTTAAAACTTTTGCAATAGAAGGAGGTGTTCTATAATATTTATTTTTAGTGTCATGTGCAGATAGTACATTAACATACACCTCATTTTTTGCTGTCAATTCACCATCAGTAACAGTAATATATAGGAAAAAGCTTTCTCCACCCTAAAATATAAAAAAAAATTAATCTAAATCATTGCATTTAAATAGCATCGTACTTACCCGGCCAACCAGACTTTCGTTGAGATACACAACGCCTCCTACAGGATCTATATGAAAAGGAACTTTATATTGCGCTTCAAGTCCATATATAAGGTCGTCATTTTCTGGATCATCCGCACGGATTCTAGCAATGATTTGACCAACTGGTTCGTTTTCTGAAATACGCCAATTCCTATCCGGCACAATAAGTATTGGGGGTGTATTCAGGTGATAGTGTTCTTGACATGAAACTAAAAAAATTTTCGAAATAGTTTTGTATCAGTAAATAAATAAAAACGAGAAGAATAGTTGGACCGTTGGAGAATAGTTGGCCGACAGAACAATATGTGGACTTTAACTTTTTGGGAATGTAATTCCCGTCTCAGGGCAAAATTCCGCAAACTATATACACCCTCTGGTGTGGTCATAACATTACTATACTGCTTTAAACATTTAAAAGTAAATCTCATAACATAGTACATACATCAATATGTTTTATATTATTATGGATACACTAGATACTTTACTTTTCCGCAAAATTCCGCAAACTATATACACCCTCTGGTGTGGTCATAACATTACTATACTGCTTTAAACATTTAAAAATAATTCCCATAACATAGTACATGCATCAATATGTTTTATATTATTATGGATACACTAGTTACTTTACTTTTCCGTATTAATAATAAATGTCATGGAATATTTTTTCAAGTGATGTCTAGGTTTATTTGTCCTTTTTGACCGTAACCGGACCAAAAGGACGTCATTTCGTGAGAACTGTACTTTGATTATAAGTTGATTAGCGTTTTTATTCTTAATATGCCTCTGTTACGCTTGAGTCCCCCTACATTTGTTACATAAACTATTTTGTCAAAATCAGTGTTCGCAAAAAAACGGTACACTATCGTAGTGTGCCGTACCAGGAACACAAACACTAAAAAAATGTTAGCGTTTGTGTTCCGGTACACAAACATTAAAAAATATTTTAGTGTTACTGTTCCGGAGCACAACGAAATTCGTAGTGTACCGCGGTCGGAGCACTAAAAATCGTAGTGTACCGCGGTCGGAACACTAAAAAATCGTAGCGTACCGCGGTCGGAACACTAAAAATCGTAGTGTTTCATTTGGCGGAACACTAAAAATCATAGTGTTCCATTTGTCGGAACACAAAAAGATGTATTTGTTATATTTTTATGAATAAAATTTATATTTTTATTGTTTTCCAATAGATTTAATAAATATAAAACTTTTAAATTTTTTTATATATTTTATTAAAAATTAGTAATATTTTATTAGCATCAACCGTTTAACATAATAAATATTTTATAACTAAAAAAGGTCGTCTAGTGAAAATTCAATCAGATGCCAACTCGCAACTGAAAATTCCATAATCGATTGTGTTGATTGGAAAAATGTAATGCATAAGACTACCTGTGCAAAAATCATAAAAAGGAAGAATATTCCAATAATGGATATGTATATGAAACTCGTTGTTGATATGGTACCTGTGTGTGGTTTTGTAATATTTATCCCAAAATCATAAAAATATGTTTTCTATATCCGCGTAATTTGTGCACTTCTTTTAATGAATAAACAGGTAATTACTATGTTGATTGTGTGACAATCACCAAATTTTGAATATTTTTGCTAAAATTTCCTAAAAGTATGAATCATAGATGGATGCAGGTATAATTATTTTAAGAAATAATGTTTTCGTACTAACATTTTACAAGGAGATCTCCCAATATTATGGGAAAAATCATGTTCGTTGTGTAAATCAATGAACATTTTATCCAAAGCTGAATAATTTTGTCACAAAAACTGGCCAAAATACCTATTTCTGATGGACATTTTCACTTTTGTAATTGCAAATAAAGTTATAATCAGTTTTATTTTTTTATTATTTTATCTCATTTTACCTACAAAAAATAAAAAACAGACGTGTATGGTACACTACCAGTACAGTTCCAGTAAGTGGAACGCTACGATTTTTATTGTTCCAACCAGTGGAACACTAAGATTTTTAGTGTTCCGACCAGCGGAACACTAACATTTTTAGTGTTCCGACCAGTGGAACACAATGATTTTTAATGTACCGCAGTCGGTACACTACAATTTTTAATGTACCACTGCCGGAACACTACGATTTTTAGTGTTCCGCTGTCGGTACACTACGATTTTTTAGTGTACCGCAGCAGGTAAGCTAAGATTTTCGTTGTGCTCCGGAACAGTAACGCTAAAAATATTTTTAGTGTTTGTGTACCGGTACAGTACGTTATTTTAGTGTACCTATCCACCTTGGTACGGTACAGAACACTATGGAACGGTACCATAATGTTTATTTTCGAACGCTGGTCAAAATGCATTTTGCTAAGTCTTTACGGTTTCTATCTCTTTGCTTACATGCCTTCATGACATATTCATAACCTAATGTAATCTACCAATGGTCTTGTTTGTTTTGTTTTATTATAAATTATCTACGGACATAAAATAATAAATTTAATAATACCATTGATAATTTAAAAGTATGGACATTTATTTTCACTTATCTATCGGGAACTTTAAAAAAAAAAAAATAATAAAACAATATTATAAAAACATAAATACATTTTTGCTTAAGTGTTGTTCGGATACAGAGTATTTTTACATTTAAAATATTGAACTGTAGTAGCCGAAAATCGAATGGCAAATGGTCGCTTATTGTACCAAACTGGCGCTCATTTGTTTCAGGCTAGAACCAAATTAGAGCATTTTCTGACATTCACTTTAACGGTAGAAGTGTATCGAACACACGTCGATCTGTTCTGAGAAACAGGCTGACTTCCAAAAAGTTATTTACTTTGCATCCTTAATGCAACAGTACCAAATATTTACATTGCATACTATTTTAAATATTTACATTGCATACTATTTTAAAATGTCGCTGCCACGTATTTTCGACACAGTTAAAAACAATCAGGCATCGGTTTTATTGTAGATGCATTGTTTGTTTACCAGCCCAAAATGAAATACCCAAAGAAAAATGTCAATGACAAATTCACAAAAGTAATTTTAATAAAAATATTAATATGTGTAACAAATAAATGCATTTTTTACGTTGTTAATTGAAAATCATCCTTCTTTTTTGTAATTATTCGGGCAATATTAAAAAACATTTTTTCTTTTATTTAGTCTCGGTAATGACTGAGTGCCTATTATCCCTGAACTGATGAGGCGAGAATGGCGCCGCTAAATACCCATATCAAAGGTCTGGGTCACCAGCTCTTAAAAGTGACCCCCCTAACGCTGGGACCTCGTGTCCATCAGTGTTCTACGGTTTGCAGTCAGTGTTAGAAGGAGCCTTTTGATACCTGGTCACCTCAACAAGTTCATTCAAGTGGTGAGTCCTCTCAGCTTAGCCAGTATGGTGGTCATAAAACCTTGCATCCTTAAGGAATGATGCAAGGAAAGCATATAATAGAGCTAGTAAGAAAAAACTCAGTAAAGATTGGGATGTTTATAGAGAACAGTTCAATAGGTACAAGAATGAAATCAAGAAGGCTAAACGTGAGTCTTGGGTCTGCTAGATTTGGGGTAGTATTAAGCGAACATGACAGGACGTGGTCAAATTCTGGTAGTGAGACTCTTGATCTTCCATCTTCAACCCACTTCCCTGGTTGTAAGGACCATAATGACGATGTGCAGTGTACGCATCGGCTTAAGGTTCGAACCAGGGAGGGGAAGAAGCTGATAGAAAACACTATAAGCTACCCAAAACTGGCATGGGCGATAAATAGTTTTCTACCCTACAAATCCCATGCCCAGATGGTATAATACCGGCCATGCTGCAGCACGCAGATGAACGAGTATTAGCCACTCTGCAAGACATTTTTAGGTATTGTCTACTCTTATCATACATACGTAGTCTATGAAAAGATATAACAGTGACCTTCATCCCGAAAGCCAAGAAGCTGAGTCATACTCTACCAAAGGACTATAGACCGATTAGCCTCTCTTCCTTTCTACTCAAGACTCTAGAAAGGTTACTAGACTCCGAAATTAGGAAAACTATTGACCCAAATAAAATTAGCAACTCCCAGCATGCCTACATCAAAGGCAAGTCAGTTGATACAGCCTTACATGAGCTGGTTGGCTGCGTTCCTATCCATTCTGCTCTCGTAAACACAGGTATGTCCTCACTTCTAACGGACTGGATTGATAGAATGCTGGAAAGCATAATTATCAACCTTTCAACAGAAGCACGCCACAAGGAGGAGTATTATGAAATGGAACGTACTATGAAATGACCAACAACAGTCTATTCCTGCAAGAATTCCATAGGTAAGGTTTGGGGACTAAGACCAGAGATCATACATTGGTTGTATGTGACGGTCGTACTCCCCATTCTTACGTATGTATGCCTTGTATGGTGGTAGGGGGTCAACAAAAAAATACTGCTGAATAAAATGAACAAATTAGAACGATCGGCTTCGATCCTGACCACCGGAGCGCTAAGAAGCACACCACAGGCCGCCTTGAATGCAAGCTCGAACATCCAACCACTGAACTCTCTGATTAAATTCCAGGCCGCTAGATGTGCCCTGAGGCTCCGAGAAACGGCTGTCTGGAAGTCGCTGGACTTTGGTCACGCTGTATCCTCAACATGACGCCAGGTTGTGACTTCTTGAGGAGGAGTACTTACATTAGTGACTATGTTCCCTCTCATAGAGATTTTAACATCAGAGTAGAGTTTCCTAGTAGGGAAACCTGGACTAGTGCCTCTGCCTGGTCTGTCATTTTTTACAGACGGGTCAAAGATGGAGGATGCCACGGGTGCAGGCATTTACTGGGAATTAGAAATCTACAACTCATATAAACTTAACGATCTTTGTAGCGTTTTTCAAGCAGAAATCCTTGCAATCACGAGAGCGGCCGAGATAGTCAAAACACTTACTGCCGATAGGGGAGTTGTCAATCTCCTACTAGGTGCGTCTTCCCGGGTGGCGGATGGGAAGGGGGTCTCCATGAAGTGCAGAGAGAAACTGACCTAGGTCTCCTAGATCAACTTCTCTCTGTGCCTTGTGGAAACCCTGGGGATCTTCGGATCCTTCGTGGACCAAAATGGATCGGGGTAGTGCCCTTAAATAAATCAACTTAGATGGGAAAAAGAAGTAAAAAGAATAAAGTTACGGTGCAGGGAGATAATAACCCAGTACCGGCGGCAATCGTTGGTGAGATCACAAGCCACGTGTCGTCGAGATCAAGCGATTGTGATCCGGCTGTTCTAGGTGTGGATGTCCTTGGCTGACAGGACTGCAGTTCTGGGAGGGGACGACCTACACGGGACTCTACGCGCTATCCGCGATAGTCTAGAGGAACAAAGTAAGGAACTCTTCGACCAGTTAGACAAACTGGTACCGTAAGAGCAATGTGGGGACACGCTTCCGGAGGAGCTGCTATTAAATCTTACCCTAACTGATGATGAGCTGGACACCACGGTGATCCCAGCCAAGTCTACACAGGGGGATAGCCATAGCAGCAACGAAGGAAATGTGGACCCTATTGTCCAACCGACCTCCAGTCTGTCTTCAACAGGTCCTGTGTCGGCACCTGCCGACAAACTTCAGAGGCAATCTGCAACAGAGGTGATGTCCGACGATGGGGAATCTGTTGATCCCCCGGAAACGGACAGTGGCTCGAAGGTTGGGAAGGCCCGAGAAGTGACGGATGCGAAGCATTACAAACGTGCTGTTTCGTATCTTCACAAATTCGTGGGGCGAGACGCGAATTTGATCTCGGAGAGGGAGGTTCACCTCATCAAGGGTAAGATGAGATATGTGAGGAAATTCGAGAGGATTTACCCTCACGCTCTCCATCGTGAACTCGAGATGGACAAGATCTCCCTCCCGAATCTCACTGCTCGCACAAAAGTAGTGGAATCGGCGAAGCCCATTGTCTCTGACAAAGGTGCTAAGCCGATTTCTGACCCGAAGCCCAGTGCTGATCCGAACCCGAGTAAGAAAGCACAGGAAAAGGTTACTGAGAGTATCCCCAAACAGAATGTCACCCATAAGGGTGATCAACCTGCAGAGGTCTCTGCCTCAAAGCCCGACTCTGCGCCTAACGACAAGGGGGAGGCAAAGGCGCTGGGTGGATCCAAGAGTGGTCGAAACAGGAAGAAGGGAAAATCAGCGAAGGAGCCATCGTCTCCTGGGAAAGCAGATGTCGCCCCACAGAATAAATCTGTGAAGCGTATCCGCTCTTCGGAGGGTCCTCAACCCTCACCCATGAAGACGATGACTTCTCGTCTGGTAGATCCTTCTACCTCTTATGCGGCTTGTGTTGGACTACAAACTGCGGAGAAACGACCGAGTACGGAGAAGGCTTCAACCTCCTCTGGAAAGGCGACCTCCAAGACTCGTAGTCAACGACGTAAGCCGTATGAAAGACCAACTAAGGTAGCCACCGATGAAGACCTTCTTGTGGCAATCATAGACAAAGCTGATCCTCAGGGTAGAATCAGTGAGAGTCATTGGTAAGAATATGGTTTCTGGACTAAGGAATGCCAACTTTGATATCTTCGCCACGTCCACGGGGCACAAGGTGAGAACATGCATAGTAGGTAAGAAGAGCTTAAATATAATCTTTCTGTCTAATTACAGCAATGGTGACATGTGCACTGTGAGGCTGGAGCACAAAACGGGGAAGGCCACCCTGCTCTCCTCAGTCTATATGCCCTTTGAGGAGAGGGATCCACCAGGCACATGTGTACGGAAGATGCTCGATGAAATGACGAGCACCTGCAATGTTATCTTGGGATGCGACGCAAATGCTCACCATTTTCAATGGGGTAGCAAGGACACAAACATACGAGGTGAGTCCGTTTTTGATTTCATTTTATCCTATGATTTACGTATATGTAATAGGGGTAGTGACCCGACTTTTAAAGTTAGGGGTAGAGAGGAGGTCATCGACTTAACCCTCTCAAATCTAGACGACTCCGTCATCAGGAATTGGAGGGTATCTGATGAATGTTCCTTTTCGAATCATTTAAAGATTCTCTTCGAGTACTCCTTTGACGGAGATAGACAACAGCCTTATCGGAATCCAAGGAGAACAAACTGGGAGAAATTCACGGGTCTAACGAACTCCCAGCTGACTCTTAACACAAACTTAGGAACAGCTGTGGAACTCAACTCTAACGGACGTTCCCCTATGCTGCCATAAGGAATCCTGTCCGCTCACACATCCTGGGAAGAAATCTCGGCCAGTGTGGTGGAACAAGGAACTTGGTGAGCTCAGGAAAGCGACCAGACGACTGTATAACAGGGCGCATAAGTCTAAACTCGACACTGATTGGAACTCCTACAGAGTTAGTTTCAATAAATACAAGAGTGAGATAAAACGCGCGAAGAAAAAGTCATGGGTAAATTTCTGTGAGTCGATAGAAGGGGTCAACGACGCTGCTAGGTTTCGAAAACTACTATCCAAGGACCCGAAGTCCATCGGTAGTATTAAGAAGCAAGATGGAGCGTGGACGGACTCAGGTTCTGAGACTCTTAATCTCCTAGCTGAGACTCATTTCCCGGGTTGCAAAGACATGGATACCATCGACGGTGATCGTGATGTCACTCGGCCTTTTGCCACCCCAGATCTGGATCTCATTAGCAGGGTGGTTAACAGAAATATGATACGATGAGCCGTCAACACATTTAAGCCGTATAAATCGCCAGGACCGGATGGTATTCTTCCGGCGATGCTTCAATATGCCTCGCCAAATATTTATCTGATCCTTGAGAAGATTTATACTGCGTGTCTGACTCTCTCGTGTGTTCCGGATCTATGGAACGAGGTAAAGGTCACTTATATTCCCAAAGCAGGGAAACCAAGCCACTCTGCACCAAAAGACTATAGACCCATTACCCTATCATCCTTTCTCCTCAAGACCCTCGAAAGACTGATCGACCTGGAGATAAGGAGTCGTATAGACACCACTTCTCTCAGCAACTCACAACACGCATACATAAAGGGCAAGTCTGTGGAATCTGCACTGCACGAAGTGGTGGGATATATTGAGAGGAACATGGAAAACTTAAATTTTACGCTGGCCGCCTTCTTAGATATAGAGGGAGCCTTTAACAACGTTAAACTTGAATCCATAAACCACTCACTTAGGGAAGTCGGCATTCCTAATACTCTGACATATTGGATAAATAAAATGCTTAACAGCAGAATTTTAAATTCAAGTGTGGGGGATACAAAAATCAGGAAAACAGTAACTAGAGGCACACCTCAAGGAGGGGTGCTTTCGCCGTTACTATGGCTGCTGGTAATTAATATCATTTTGAGGGAATTGGACGGGGAAGGTATCAAAGTTGTAGCTTACGCGGACGACGTGGTGATATTGATTTCCGGAAAATTTCCGTCTACAATCTCTGAGCTTATGCAAAGGGCCTTACTGACGCTGTCACGCTGGGCCAAGGCAAATGGTCTTGGTGTAAATCCAACGAAGACGGAACTGGTAATGTTTACTAGGAAGCGTAAGCTCGGCGTTTTTGTTCCACCAACATTGGATGGGGTGCAACTTCACCTATCTCCCGAAGCAAAGTACCTCGGCACAATCCTGGACTGTCAACTACGATGGAAAAGGAACGTTGAGGAGCGGGCGAAGAGAGGAATGATTGCACTCTATGCATGCAAGAACTCTATTGGGAAAAACTGGGGGCTTAAACCATCGACTATACACTGGTTGTATAACACTGTGGTGAAGCCCATCTTGTCCTATGGCTCTCTTGTTTGGTGGAACTGTCTGAGCCTCAAGCCGACATCTAGTAAATTAGACAAGGTACAAAGAGCCGCCGCAATTTTAGTTACAGGAGCCAGAAGGAGTACGCCACAAGCAGCTCTGAACGCAATGCTGTACTTCAAGTCTTTGGGCCTAAGCATTAAGTGTTAGGCTGCGCGTAGCGCCCTAAGGCTACACGAACAAAAACTCTGGCGGAACTGTACCTTTGGGCATAGTAGTGTTCTAAATGAACCAGGTATAGCATTGGACCAACGCGCTAAACTAAGCGACTATATATCACCAATCCTTAGATTTGACGATGTAGATGTCGTTATCCCTAGTAGAGACGACTGGAAAAGAAGTAACCCTCCTCTGGACGGTCTGGCCTTCTATACAGACGGATCCAAGATGGAAGAAGGTACTGGGGCAGGCGTCTACTGTGAAAGGTTAGGCCTTGAGTTGACCTACAAGCTGGATAGTAATTGTAGTGTTTTCCAAGCTGAAATCTTCGCGATCTGGAAGGCAGCGGAATTGATAAAAAAACCTGGATGCTGAGGTCGTTGAACCGGTGACTATCTTTGTGGATAGTCAAGCGGCTCATAAAGCCATCAAATCTTGCC